CCCCCAGCTTCCTTGTAGCCCCCCAGGCACTGGAAGGGGCTCTAAGTTTTCCCTGTATCCTGCTCTTCTCCAGGCTGAAGAAGCCCAATTGCCACGGGATGTTTGTTATCCAGTGCCCCTTCCTACTGGGCCCTAACCCAGCCCAAATAGGCTTCTGGGGGGGGAAGCCCCAACATTTTGATGCCTCCTTGTTCCCTTGCAAGGCTTTTGCTGTCCCCACGGTAAACACAGTTTGAGAAGGACTAAGAGCGTCACTCCGCCTGCGTCAGCTGCAGGGCTCTGCTCTTTGCCTGACGTTTGGGTGGCAGTGGGTAATTCTCTGACGTTTGCTTTCCTATAAGCAGATTTTCAAGGTCTGTGTGAGTGGAGAGATATTTTTCCAGAGCAGAAACCATGTTTTGTTCCTACAGGGAATGTGGAATAAAGACACAGCGATACTTTTCTACATGGAAGACTGAGGCTTTTCCTTTGGCCATTGTAGCTGCAGCGGTTATCCCAGTTTCTGCCCGTGCTCGCCTCCCCCATCTCTCTTCCGGCTGTCTATAATGGAAGCCGAGGAATGTGTGTTTTCCTCAGCTCTACAGACCCCAGCCCAGTCTGTTACTGTCAGCGAACACTGGTGGCAGTTTAAGTTAATTCCTGGCTGCCGCGGAAGGTCTTGGAGCATTCACAGACCAGAAACCAGAACTAGGCCTTTCCAGGGCTGAGTTAGGCCTTTCCAGCCTCGCTGAGGCTGGCAGACACACTGCTCCCTGCTTCCAGCAAGGAATCTCTTCCCCCTGTGGGAGTTCCTGCCACCAGGTTGAGTTGGATGGCTGACGGAGCAGTAGCGTTGCACTTCCGTGCATACTGTGCAGCCTCTCCCAATCCTCTGGGAAGACAAGCGTCTGCTGGAGCACGACCGTAACCGGGTGCAGGGCGTCCACTCGGTTGGGAGCTGCGGGGCAGCTCAGCTGACGAGGTGTTGGAGGTGGAGCGCGAAGGCCGTGGACTGAACGGGCTTCTCTCTTTGCTCATCTGCAGGCCGGGACGGTGATCTGGATCGGAATCCTGGTTTACACGGATCCTGCTGGTCTCCGCACCTACCTCACGTCACAGGTCACCGAACAGAGTCCGCTGGGTGAAGCAGTTCTGCCCCCGATGCCTGTTCCTGGAGGGGTCCTGCCTGCCGGGGACCCCAAGATTGATCTCTCGGTCTTCCCGTCGGACTCGATACAGCTGTCGGAAAACCAGACGCAGCAGCGTGAGCAGAAGGCGGGGCTGGAGTCCCTGAGCAGGCTGGAGACAAACCAGGGACCCGAGGGCAAAGGGAATGGACAGCCGGAGCTTGGAGCGGAAGCAGAGGTTACCTGGGGAGCAGAGGATGAGGAGATCTGGAGGAAGCTTTCCTTCAGACACTGGCCGTCCCTTTTCGGCTACTACAACATCACTCTGGCTAAAAGGCAAGTGGGCTGGTGCCGAGTGCCGCAGGCGCTTGGATTCCCTGTGGAATTCACCCCAAGCCGCCACCTTTCGTCTGTCCTTCTGGGTTAGATATTCGGATTCCGTGTGGGTTACTCGGCTGTCTCTCAGGAGGAGGCTGTTGACAGGCCTCCTGTGCGGTACCGAGCTCCCCGGGGCTGTTTGTCTGGGAGTCAGGGGGTGTCTGGGCTCTAGGGCGCGTTACTTGCTCGTTGTCTTCCCTTACCCTGGAGTCTGGAATTCTGTAAAACGATACCTGTAAGGGATGGGGCTGGTGGAGGTGAGGAACGGAGATGTGGGAGCTGAAGGAGCTTCTCGGTGAGACCTTCCGGCCTGCCACCTACGGGAAACTGGACCAGGTCACTACATCCTACATCCACTACATCTAAACCAGGGAGGTTTAGATTGGATATCAGGAAGAAATTCTTCACGGAGAGGGTGGTGAGGCACTGGAACAGGTTGCCCAGAGAAGCTGTGGATGCCCCATCCCTGGAAGTGTCCAAGGCCAGGCTGGATGAGGCTTGGAGCAACCTGGGCTATGGAAGGTGTCCCTGCCCATGGCAGGGGGGTTGGAACTGGATGATCTTTAAGGTCCCTTCCAACCCAAACCATTCTATGATTCTATGATCCTTACTCACATCTGTGGGATCCATTGGGTCTCATCAGCAGTTCGTTCTGCTGTTGGCTCTTAACCTCTCCGTGGAATTAAGGGTTAAGACCTGGGAAATACCTTTTGAGGAGAATATTAGGTATTCTAATACCCTAACTAAAGCTCTTTAGTTTAGAGTACCTAAACCCACGGGGCTGAATCCTGAGGCCTTGGTGCCAGCGAGATGAGTGAGGTTACCTCGTGCGACCTCTGCCTTTGTCTTTGCTGTTCCTAAGCGACCCTCACCTTTCCGTTCCTTCAGATACATCAGCATCCTTCCGGCAATTCCCGTCACGCTGTACCTGAACCCGCAAGAGGCCTTAGAAGTGCGGCATCCCCAGGAAGCTAACCGCTACCACCCCTTCTTATCCTCGAGCAGTGGGAAGCTGGATGCTAGAGCTCAGCCGGACCGAGCCTCATCCAAGCTGCAGGGACACCGGGATGTCACCCTCTACAAGTAACCGTCCTCGATCCTCCCGCCCCGGCTCCCTCGGAGAGACGGGCTGCTCTGCGCCTCTCCGGCACTTCCCGTGGTGGGAGGCCAGAGAACACCAGTAAAGCTCCAGGGCAAAACCCCATAACGTGGGACACACTTCCATTAATCCCTCCCGGCACCGTTTTTCTCCGCAGCCGCGTTTCCCGGCGGGAGAAGGGGCTGCATCCCGGGTTGTTAGCACGCGGGATGTGTTACGGGGTTTATTCCTGCGTGAGAGGGAGAGGAGTTGGGCTTTGGGAATAAATACCATGAGTCAATAGTGATTTATCGGAATCAGACTCTCAGGGAAGCAAGGGCCGTCCTTTCCAAGGACCGGCTCACAGCTCTCCGACTGGATCCGCAGTTCTTTGGCGCTGCTGGATGTGCTTTACATTATCCCCATCCCCCTCTAACGGGGTTTGTTTAAGGTCTGAACTGCTAGGTGCTTCTCTTATTGAAAAGAGCTTGTAAAAATTGACATTTCCTACGGAAAAAAAAATCCTTAAATTTTCCAGAAATCACTGTATCTTCTTGGAAATCTTTCTCAGCTGAAAAATTCAGACCAGGAATGCATGTAATACTCCCACAGTATCATTGAAACTCTGTCCCTGGACCAAGAATTGGCTCTTTATCTCACCTTTTTTTGTCATCGTGTCTTTGTCTCCCTCCAGGGTGGCCGCTCTGGGTCTGGCTTCGGGCATTATCCTGGTCCTCCTGCTCTTCTGCCTCTACAGGGTGTTCTGCCCCAGGAACTACGGGCAGAACGGGCTGGCGCCCAGCCGGAGGAAGAGGGGCGACCTGCCCTGTGACGATTACGGCTACTCCCCCCCGGAGACTGAGATCGTCCCCTTGGTTCTCAGGGGTCACCTCATGGTAGGTGGGACGGGCGCCGTCCTTCCGGGCACGGAATTACGCCGGTTTGGGCCTCACCTCTTCCCTTTTCTGTGGTTTATTCCGTAGAATTTAGGATGGTTTGGGTCGGAAGGGACCTTAAAGATCATCTAGTTCCAACCCCCTGGGAATAATGGCCCTGGGGAAGGGCAGCCCAGCTACGCAGCCGTGGCGTAAAGCAGCCGCCCAGTCGAACCGCGGCGCCCGTGGGCCTGGGAAGTTTACCCGGGAGAAGGGAAGGCCGAGAGCGGATCGCCTCGGATCGCAGCAGTGCTTGTAAAGATCTGGAGGGCGGGTGTCAAGGAGGGGCCGGACTCTTTCCAGTGGTGCCCAGCGACAGGACAAGGGACAACAAGCACGAACCAGCAGTAAATCTTCCCTACCCATGTTGGAGGATGTAGAAGGGAGATGGAGATGGGACATCAGGAAGGAATTCTCCCCGCAGAGGGTGGGAGCCATGGGACAGGTTCA